TTCAAATTTGCCTTTCGGCAAGGACTTAGTAAAAATGTCTGCTGCTTGATCTTCTGTTGTACAGTGTACTAGGCTTACTTCTTTCTCCTTTTCTACTTCCCTTATAGCGTGGAACTTGACCTTTATATGCTTAGTCTTTCCACGCAACACTGGATTTTTTGCAATGGCGATTGCGGATTTATTGTCGATGTAGAGGATTGTAGGTTCAATGGAAAACATCTGTAAATCATCTAGTATTTTCTTTAACGATTGAGCTTGATTTATTGCTCCTGCTGCTACTATGTATTCAGCTTCGGCGGATGACTGTGCAACAATTTCTTACTTCTTTGACAACCATGAAAATGCACCAGAACCAAGTGAAAAAACATACCACGATGTGCTTTTAACATCCTCCACACATCCTGCCCTGTCACTCTTACATACCACGGTGAGCTTGAAAATGGATTCCCATATCAGTGGTTCCTCTTACATATTTTAGAATATGCTTAACTGCTGCCATGTGTGATTGTCTTAGTGAATTCATAAACTGAGATAACAGGCTGGTTGCATAAGTTAGATCTGGTCGAGTGGCAGTTAGGTAGAGTAAGCTGCCAATTTTACTCCTGAACTCTTTTTCATTCACCCTTTCTTCTTTTTCAGTTTTTGACAGTTTAATATGTGGTATGAGAGGGGTAGATACGGCTGTGCAATTTTCAAGCTTGAATTTTTTGAGCAATTCCTTCGCATACTTCTTTTGTGATATAAAGATCCATTTCTCAGATTGCATGATCTTCATTCCCAAAAAATAGGTTGCTCTTCCAAGTTTTGACATCTCGAATTCCTGCTCTAATTGTGTTCTGAGTTTCTCCATTCTTTATTCATCATTTTCAGTGATGAGAATATCATCAACATACAGTGATATGATGACCATTTTTCCATCCTTTAGGTGTTTGACATATAGGGTTGCTTCGTTCTTGCTTCTTTTAAACCCACAGTGGAGCAGGTATGCATCAATTTTGCCATACCATGCTCTGGGAGCTTGCTTAAAACCATACAGTGCTTTATGTAATTTATACACATAATCAGCCTTCTCTTCTACTTCAAATCTTCTCGGTTTCTGGACAAATATATC